TTAAATTTGAGATAAATTTTTATTATAAAAAAGAATGAAGTGCTATACTTATAATAACGAGAAAAATATTGCTGAAATACTTGGTTTTTAGAATTCTTATAGAGCATTCATGAAGTAATTTATTTATAATATTTATATGATGTTAGAATTTTAATGAAAAGATTTTTTTGATGACACGTTATAATAAACGTTACGATATTATATAAATACCACTGATACCTTCAATATAATGAACAATGTCAATAAAATGTACACATCAATAATAGATAGTGAAATTACGAAATGACATGCAATTTCAAATATTTGTTAATTATATATGCCGCGTTAATTATCGAATAATTGTTACAACACATAGATAATACGATATAATAGGAATATACCGCATAATATTTACAATGATATGTGATGATAAGTGATAATACGCAGATAATGTATGCAGATTTTGGATGAGCCTTCTTCGCCATATCTCTACTTCTTAAATGAAAATTTCTCTATCTAGCATATGCGTATGAATAGAAAAAAAAAATATAATAAATCTGCGAATGTGGGTATATAAGGTAAACAAATAAAAAATCAATTTACAAATAAATATAAAACATATATTTAAATTAAATGCCACAAAATATCTTGCTTTGCGATAAACCTAACGTCAGAGTGTCCCTTTTTTTTTAGTTCCTCCACGTGAAATTACAGTGCTAAATAGAAATAAATCAACCGTCCATTATTTTTTTATAACGGTAACGTGCACATGTTTTAACAATATGCTAAAGAAATATATAATACCGATACGTCGGAAATTAAGTGAACGTTATATGCGCTCTACTTGAAGAATCTATAAAAAAAAAATTCACTAAAAGTCACGGCAATCTAATTCGCCGAGTAAGTCCTTCCGATCTCATCGATATATATTCAGTCTTCATCAATTTATCATTCTACCGTGTATCAATCCACCGCACCACAGTTTCACGCGGATTCGTTAGAATTAATTAAAATACTAGTCGTTTCGTTTCGTGCCGCGTGCGCGCTGACGAAGCAAGGGGGAGTCGAGTCGAAGAAAAATACAATTGTCGCTTCTCTCGTTTCTCTCTCTCCTCTTTGTTCCCTTCCCTTTTTTTTTAGGATTAAACCAAATTTTCTTATCCAAATGCGTTTCGTCTCTATAAAAAATAAGTAAATTAAAAGAAACTCACAGAAATCTATTTCGAATTCAAATTAAAATTTGATTTTCTTTCGTTCGTATTTTAACTTTAACTACAGCAGTTAGAATAAACGTATGGAAAAAAGATTTAATTTTTGCTAAATCCAAAATAATTTTAAATTAGAATTTTGTAAAATAAATTTCTATGAATCTCTTTCAATCTCTCCTTTTTTTACATAGTTCAGGAAGATGTAGCAACAGTCATTTTCTATACTTTACCGGTTGTAGGAGCGTAAAAGCTTTTGAAAACGCTTTCTTAATGAATACGTCTCTTATAGTTAACGAAATTATTATTGCTGCTAAATCGATCATGGATCGTATTATTGCTCTACGAGAGCTTGGACAATAACGTGAAAGATCCGTGACTCCTCCAATCGTTTGAGCCACTATTAGCCAAAAAGCAAATTCTTTAATGTTTATTATCGGAATCGTTTCTTCAAACCGCTCGTAATCTATTGATACGACCGTGACGCGCCGAGCAATGAACACTAACTGTGGTACATACAAGTGGCTTTCAGGAAAACAGGAAACCGTATCGTTTCGCGTATGGACGTAGCATTTCGCGACATTTCGTTGATTCGTATTATTTCGCATATATTTGGGCTAATTGTAGCTGTCCGTTTCTCATCTGACGTTAATATCGCGCGACTGAAGATCAGAATTAAAGAATCGCATTCAGTGCTGAACGTCGCCGCGCAATTTTCACGACTCTTGTGTCAAGTAAATGACGCTAGAAGGATCAGGAGGATCACGAACTAAAATTAAATGCGGCATTACGCGCGCGAAATTACGTAGGTGAGACGCCCGTGAAGCGATTAGAGTTTCAATACTTGCGAATTCCAGTGGGTGTCTCTTCCCCCCTTTGCAATGTTTGCACAGATGCATATACACCATATGTAATACGTTCTTATGCAGCTATGCGGCTAATTGATATCCGTAGGTATACGCGAGTAATTATCTGCTTACACGATTTATGTACAAGTTATCACGTTTTCAGGTAGCCGAGAGGATCAGTAACGACGATGTGAGAGGCATCGCTTTATACTGCGCGGTAACGATATTCAGCGCCTGTTTACATTCAAGTAATATAACACACGCGTACACACAAACACACACATACATACATTTCATATTCCTCTGCCCCTTGACGTTTTCCAAACAATTATCGCAAATTGGCCTAATCTTTATCGTTTCTCAATTTTTTTTTTCCGTTTTACTATATTCACCAATAAAGAAATTCGTTTATTAATGCGAGCAACAACTAAGCGGAACAACGCAGATTGTCTCCGCAGGATTAGTAATTTTTCTTCTCTTGACAAGGCGAAACGATGGGAAACGGCACATAAAGCGTCTCTTACGCACAAGATCATTACACCATCAGGAAAAGAATAGAACGCGCTACGTCCTTACCGCCGAACACATAGAGACACATCTACAATTATCTTACTAATCATTAATAGTTAAATATCACAATCTATGATAAGAAATCCGCGTATATGCGTCTTGCCGCATCGCTAGCTACCCGCGCATTCTTCACCCGTCGCCGGAAAATTACAGTGCGCAGAGATGCAAATCAACGAGTACGTACAAAAATAAATAATTGTCTTGGGTGAATACAGCGGGATCGTGTAGCTCACTAATCTGTCTGCTCGGGTCCGCGTGCAAATCTACGTATGGTATACGCCTATACGATTTATTCGGAGCGATCGATCAATCGTCCTAAGAACGAAGCGCTAAAAATAAAGCAGGCCTGAATCCTAAAAAAGAAATTTATCGTTCGATTTTTGAAAATTTCATCTATATACAATATATATCAATTCATTTATGTCATACATTTGACACATGCGTCATAATCCAATAATTATATAGTAATCAAACAGTAACACACCTACACTACTAATATTTAGCATTTAGCTATATACAAGTAATAACAAATTTTGTTCGTTTCGTGTCCTATAACGAAGAATAAAGACCTGACATTTCATCAGCGCCTTAATCAGTGCGATAATCGATCGTGCCAACAATCGTTTGCGTAGATTTATACGGACTTTTACTGAGATGAGCGGAAATGAATATAAATTCACTATTGAAAAGGCAAATCGACGAAATAAATTTATGATTCATAAAAACATTCCATTTAAAGATAAATCATTATTTCCTATATTTATTATATATGAGAGTACGCAAATCTGAAATTTTTTTATTTAAATTTTCATCCATCTGACCTTTTCAATTTATATAAACGAAACGTAATTTACTCGGAAGAGATTATATTCTATTTGTTCCTTTTATATATTGTTTGTATTTACATTATAAATCTCTCGTTTCGCGTGAAATTCAAAGTGATGTAGAATGAAATCAACTTGAAAAATAAATCACTCGGAGCTACAATTTCTCTTGTTCATGGCAAAAACGGTAAAAAAGAAAGAAGCGGAAATATTGTTAAATAATGACGCTTCGTATTTTCAGAGTACATATGTATGTGTATATATATATATATATATATATATATATATATATATGCAAAAGGGATAAGAGATCGTGATCAATAAAAAATATATATATGTACAATTGAGATTGTACAACTACATATATATATACAATCTGTTTATACCATGGAGAAATAAGTCAATGTTTTTTCTATGCAAAAACTATGTTTTTATAGAGGATACTAATATACGTCTTTCTATGTACAACATGGGACAGATAATCTGCGATCTATTTACAAAATTTATGCACAATTCAGTAAAAAATGCACTGTGAAAACAATTGCGTACTTATAATTTTACCGTTCGTAAAATTCTACATGCAATTATTAATTTTTCATTCAATTAAGTTCAATCTAGTTCAAAATGTAAAAATTATAAAGAATATTGCATAAATCATGATATTTTTCTTATCAAAAAAGAAAACATTTTGAATCTTTCAAGAACCCAGCAGATAAACTTTGTATTAAAAATAATTTGTAATATCGTGGCTTAAATTTCAATCCTGATTACGATTATGAAATTGAGATGTACATTAAACAACTTTATAATTATGTTTCTAGTAGAAAGAGATCTAATGAAAGATTTCTCCACAATTAAAGGTTGTTCGATTTATAACAGATATATATCCCTGATACAAAACATAAAGTCTTACCTTGAAAAGCACTTCGAAATCATCTAATTAAAAATTCGTTTCCGCAATCACTGTAAGAGAGTCGTGACACGTGTTGTTAAGAAAACAGGACTGAAGGAATGTTCTGCGACGTGATGAGTCGTATAATAAATCTCTCAATGGTTTGCCGTGAGGATTCTGTGTAAAAATTATATATCGCAATGTGTTGTTATGCATTCATTCATTCACTGTTATCGAGACATGCTCTCAATTATTCTCTCTAACTGTTTATCTCTCTTGATCTCTTTGTATCTATTTTACATTACAAATTCAGCGAATAAACAGAAATAGAGCATCAACCCGTTTCTTCTTTTTATGTAGTTCCGTGAGTTCAGGTACACGTCCACATACGCGATTATCCGTAGGCCATTAATCGAGATTTCTTCCTCGATGCTTCACGGCAATCAGCGCATTCGTGATCTGAGTCTGACAGATTCTATGCTGCACGATATTAGTGAAAGATCACATCGCGCATTTCAGGTTCGACAGGAGTGTCGCCCAAAGTGATACATCGCAATTGATCTCATTGCGCAAAGTAATGATACATCGTGATAACGAAAATAAGAGTCTTCCCCCCTCGACGGGCTGTGGACGTAACATCGACTGTGTAGCGACGATGACTAGGATGATGACGTGGGCGACGGTGAAGAAAAAGGGGGTCGCATGAAGATAAAGAGGTAGACGAACGACGCCCGCGGCACACGGTCCTCAGCCCGGAGTGGGTGGGGTCTTATGTCAGTGAATATTGAAGTTGTATTGTTTGCGGCTGGAAGAGATACGGAGCCACCGACTAACCGCCAATGGTTCCGGATGGCAATTCGACCAGGAGATGTCGCCAAAGTGAGGATATGGCGACGACGTGGTCGTCGCTTCGACCTGGATCGACGCAGACGTTGAAAAATCTTGCGACGATTGGCACAATTGCTCATGTTGTGACTTGTGCCTTTTTTGTTGCCGCGATACCGAGCTCGCATGATTCAGTCTCTTGCCGTTGATTTGACTGATATGCTGTTGCTCCAGCTGCTCCACCGGCTCGAACAAATTCAGACTCGGCAAGGAAACTTGCATTTGCTGATAGTTCCTGACTGACATTGGCGACTGTGACGAATGACTATTTGGCCGTGACTGTATCTGCATTAGTAGCTGAGATTTAGTGTCTTTGGTGGTGTAAATGGGCGAGTACATGGATATGGTCTCGGCATCGATGTCCACAGGAGTCTCGCCTTCGAGCACAGTGGCGACTACAGTGGGTGGTTGTATGCAAGTGGTTGGCAGTGGTGCCGGTACGACTGGCATTGTGGGCGTCGTGGTAGTACTTGGTATCAGGGTAGCTATTCCTGATGACTCTTCACTGTTGGTACACGGTAATGGGGATAGTGATGGTAGCAGTACGGATATCGGTGCCATCATCGAACTTGGTTGTTGTTGTGACGAACCGCTGCTGCTGTTACTACTACTGCTGCCAGCGATGGTAGAATTGACCACCAGCGTAGACTCCAGATTTCGCAGCTCCTCCGAATTGACAAAGTCCTCTTCGAGTTTGGTCTAAAAAAGAAAAACATTGACAATACGTAGAGTAAGAATCACAGGCCCCATAAGAAAAGGTGGCATTTAAGTGTCTAAAAGAAACCATGCCTTACAGGTTTAGTGGAGCCATGCGGGGCCAGACACCGATAAAGCAAATCAACAGCCTGCAATAACAAAAACAGAAAACAAGTATCAACCGACACCCTCTGCGTTTATCTTCATACGCGCTAGCTTGTGGTTGTATCCCGACGCTGACTTGACTGGGTCGATCGATCCACGTTTGTCAGCAGAATCGCATATAATTCTATATTTTTTTTATTTCTACTTTGATTACAAAATATTTCTTACATCAAAGAAAATTACGAAAATTAATAACATTTTTTTTTATCAAACAAAATTTTAAAAAAATGTGCATATGGTAAATTGAAAATGAAAAATATTGTTATATATGTTTACATATTTTTAAAACAGTTTTGTTCTTTTATTTGTTAAAAATAAATTTTATAATAAAGAGAAACACATTTCTAATACAAAAACGTATATATTCAGATAAACTTTGTTCTTCATAAATATTAAAATTATCAATAAAACATAATATTATCCCATTAAATTAAATTTAAAAACATAGTGATAGGAAATATTGGATTTGGTATTTATTTCTGTAAAAGATATGTAAAAATTGCCAAGTTTTTTTTTGATATTATTCGACTCGGATACTCGTCCGGATTCCAATTTTCTGAGAACTATTAAAATTTTTAGAATACACAGCCATTTAAGCTTAACTTGATCAAATTTGAAAAACAGCTGGAAACAAATTTATATTTTGGAAACAAAGTATATTTCTGCATTACCTTCTTCGAGCCAACTTTTCAATATTACTAACACTTATAACAGTATACAGAGAGAAATGAAAGTTCTTTTTAAAACATAATAAAAAAATAAGAACATCATGCACATAATATTTCAAACTTATCGAGACGTACACAATAATTTCGACAAAAGGTACGAAAGCCATATATATTTATCTCCCGTATTTTTCTCAAATGCAAAGTTATAAAAATAATATGTATACACAAAAGAACAATACTTGTACAATTTTATTTCAACTACACACAACCAAACTGAAACTTTCATTTCACCATTGCGCCAGCAATCTTGTTTTCTTTTTTAATACCAGATTGTTCGCGCAAAAGTCTAATCATAATAGTAACAATAGCGTGGCAAATGAAGAAGATTCACACCGAGGATTGTACAGAAATAGGAAAATCGGGGAGAAGGAGACAAAGGAGACGTATACCTATATGAGTATCTTAGATAGAAAATTACGAATACAAAAAAGCAGTGGCTTGCTTACCTTTGGCAGTGGATATGTGTCCGGTAACGATAGTACAGGCGGTGAGCTCGGCGTTTCTGAGTCGGCAATAGGTACTGGAGTGTTAGGAGCAAGAGGATTATTCAGGTTGGATACGGCGGTGGCGGCAGCGGCGGCGGCGGCGGCGGCGGTAACGGCTGAGGATACAGTGACGGTTCCAGAGACCGTCACCTTCGTTGTCTGCCGGCTACCGCCGCTATTCGGCTGCTCCTTCGCGGCACGATGTTCCGCGAGGAGTTTGTCGAAGGTTTTGCTGCGACCGACGACCGTTCGGCGCAGCGAGACAGTGTGCGCTTTGCATGTGAGCGACCTGGTGCAGGGCTTGCCAGTCTCCTCGTTCAACACACCACAGTGCCGATCGGGATCATACTCGCGGTCTTTAAGCAACGACCGATCTGTCTTAAGCCTCTTTCGACGAGGCTGATTGCTACTACTGTTACTGCTGGGACCAGGGCTTTTGCTCGGACTTCCTCCGCTGCTTGTAGATACACTGATAATATTCGAAGAACCAGCTATGTTAGAAGAGGTAGTTTGTACCGTGATCGATTCAAGAGGCGATCGTGGTGACGAGGAGATCGGCAGAGAGCTACCTGCAGACAAGTTCGCCTGATCCGCAGTACGCTTGACGGTCGTGTGGTTCAGCTTCGCGCTACCGATAATGGGAATTGAAGAAGGAACTGAAGGAACTGATGGTTGAGTGCTTCTCTTCAGTTTGGAGACCTTGCAGAAGGGAGTTTTTATGGACGGTTTTGTGACTGGGGTCGTGGGTGGCGGAAAATTTGCCATGCCGGAATGGCGACACTCTGTGATAAAATAGAAGATGTGTTTACATGTTTAATACCTGCAATGCACGTATACACAAGATGCTAATGAGTTGCAAATATTTTGACAATTTAACTAAATCTTAACTGCGAATGGAATTACTGTGTATACACATTTTTTATAATAAATATATAATATATATAATAAACGTATTTTTTTTTTTTTAAGTTAAAATTCAATAACTTTGACTTAAATATATTAAATAAAACTTTAAAGTATATAAATTAATGAGTAGTTCACTCTTTAAAAATACAAAAATTTTGCGTTTTGAATTATATGCTATTGAATCCTCCAAATATAATTTTGAATTAACTAAATAATAAAACCAGAAATCAACTTGCTTTATGTTTATTTCTGCATTTAATAATTAATTAAAATTTCTAATTATATCGTGCCCTATAGTTATTATTAGTAAATCCACATTTCTGTTTATATCAATAGATTGTTTTAACACAAGGCAATTTGATTACATTTCATTACACTACGATATAATAATCAATAAAACATGAATATATACCTATATGTTGAATGAGAGCTTGCGGTTTCACTATGGAATTGCATATTTCACATACTACTCCATAGAAATCATCCCTCTCTGGACAAAAGCCATACAAATCAATATCTGAAAAATGTTTCACCAAATTAATGCTATGGTAAACATGTAAGAGAGAAAGAAAGAAAGAAGTAGAACAATTTATATAACTATATACATGCATTATTATTTTTATATACTGAAAAAATTAGTAATTACCATCTGAAGAAAGACGTGTGACTGAGCTTGATCGCTGGACTTCTGTTTCTTCATCGCCTGAAACATGGAACGTAATTCATACAGTATCATGTACATATCAACCAATGAGATATTTATCTCAGTAAGAAACAATAATTTTTATTCTATATATTATTTAATAAAGCATGAAATATTTTAACTGTATATGTCCATACATATAGTACATTTATTAATAAATCATTAATATATCTATAAAAGATTTATGCTTAGCAATACTACATGTGTTCAAAATATTATTTATATTAAAAAATTAATGCTACATCTACACTCAAAAACATATTAAAATATTATTCATATAAAAAAATTCATTATACATTTAAACTCATATGTGAAGAAAGTAAAAAAAAGAGATTCTACTCCATATTCTCTAATAGAAATATTAAAAATTTCCTCAGCAAGAGTATAATTGAGCCTTTAAATATAAACATGAAATAAAGAACACAGAACTTTATGGATAAGTCAACTTTATTCTTTTTATTTACATCTAGCATACATGCATAATAACAGCTGTTGTACAAAATCCAAGATAGGATGAAATCTAGAGAAGGAAAATATATATGTGATTGACACTCTCTTACTTTCGAAATAACAATGTTTCTCAGAAATATACCATCGATCGATTTAAATCTGCCGATCGTTTAATTGTCGGCGTACAGTCGACAGTGTATATCGATCGAATTACATAATTGTCAGTCCTGAAAATCATTCGCAAAGAGCTTTTTATGGCGACGGGGGCGCACGGGGAGTACACGAGAATTTCGCAGCGTGTTATCGTACCCCCGTGCCGTGTTGATAGATGATACACAACACCCCCTTCGACATTGCCCCCTGCGATGAGGCGCGCGCGCGTGTCGCGCTACCGTCAGCGCTACCGGAGCGGACAAAGGAGCGTTGAAGTGAGGTTAGGTACGCGCGCCTCCGACGCCCGTCGCCGTCGCGGCTGCGGGCGTGCGGCTGCGGCGTCGCGATGGACAGAGATTGAGCGCACTTACTCAGCGGCTTGTCCCGTCCGATTCTTTCGATCCAGCTGGACCAGGGCTGGCCGTGAAAGAATGTTGGGCTGTCACTTCCCGACATTGCCAATGGCGCTCGCGTTCCGAGTGAAACACGGCGCGGTCCTCGCGTGTATATAGCGTGGCGAGATTGTTTTTCGGGGGCCGGGCCGCCGCGTGGACTGTCAGGTGCGGCGCGACACTATACTCCACGCTATATCTACTCTCCCTCACCCCCGCGATCTCCGTCGCTCCCGTCGCGGCGCGTGTGTGTCGCGCCACGGCCAGACGCATTTGCGTCTCCCCCTCCTCCACCACTCTCGGTCTCTCTTTTCCACAGTTCCCCCCTCTGCCCTCTCCCAACCCTGATCCACCGAATCCACTTAATTGTAAGTACGCGTATCGCGCGCGCGGCCAAGTGCCCCTCTCAAACGTGTATCTCGACTAACATATCGCGCCTGACGCGACGCGCGACCAAGATGCTCGCGATGCCTCTCGCTCCGCTCCGTCTGGCTCGTCCAGGTCGTCCTCGCGTTTCCACCGCGTTCCGCGTGGCTTCTCGTCAGCCCACATCGAGTGCACGCACACACTCTCGGGGTACCGCACGCGTACTCGCCGCACGACCGCCACAAATACTGACGAACGTCGCGAATCTGCGAGACGGCATTGGCCGAGGGTACCCTGACGTCACGAGTCTTCGTGAGCACGACAACGTGCGCAGAACGACCAGCCAATCGTGACGAGTCCGAGTCGCGTACGACGTAAACGACGTTGCGCCGACTGTTCTCCGCGGCAGGTGGATCGTGTCGCGCGTTGCCCCGGTGTCATTCACATACATGACTTCATTGATAAATCTGTATTGAATGCAAACCACGCGATACTGAAAACTTTCTTTGTAAAATGATTAATAAGACTGTAAATAGTGCAAATCATATATAGGTACATGTATGTGTTAATGTTTTTCGAAATTGTAATGAAATAGTATATTTTATTGTTTTCCATATACACGAGAACATAACAACAATGAGATGCCCTTTTTACATTCGTACAGTATTCTATAAAGCATTAATTAATGAATTAACAATTAAATAATTGTAATTTATACACAATTATCTACTTTTTGCAATTGCTTCATTGAATTGTTTTCAACAATTACGAATGTAATCACTAATTGAATTAAAAGAATTACATTGTAATTGTAATTGTTATACGACTTTTTGTACAACTCTGAATGTAAACTCTGGAAACAGAAATTTCACTCTTTTTTTGTATAGAAATTCCAAAAAAAAATTTTAAATCGGATTAATGAAGATATCGAAAATTCTATAAAATTAAAAGTCCTATACTTATGAAAAGTTATAGTAATTTATATTGCACTGTATAGAGAGAGATTATACATAGAAAACGTTTATGATTCAGCAGAAATTTTGACTATAAAAAACCACAGCATATAACGTAAAGATATCGCAATGACGCATCCTTGAATTGTTAAGTATATTTATTAGCTAATAAAGTTTTTATTCAAAATGTTAATATTTTATGTAATATTTATGATAAATATTTTTAATAAGTATTTTTTACTTGGATCATTAAAAGTATTTTCATAATATTTATTAGAACATTTCAATAAATATTTCATAGTATTTGTAATAAATGTTTATGATCTGTGTGATCTATGATAAAATATTTACAAAATATTTAAAATAAGTTTTATAAATATTTACAAATACTTTATAAATATTTTATAAATATTGTGTGCTGTCTGAGGCAGTAACGTTTTTTGAAATAAAAGCTTACAATTATTTTTTCGGAAGTATTACAGTTTATTTTGCAGTTGTATTTTTATATAATATCGTCATTTCTGTCTTTTCGTATAAAAATTTGATCCTTAATTCTATTACAAAAGCAAGTCATGCACATTCGCACAGTCACATGACATTTGTTTCGACCGCCTTCGATTCCTCTATCTTCGAGAAACCGGATCGAGATGTAACAATCCTGATTGACGACTCTTCGAGATGTGAAATCAGTATATTTTACCAAAGAGACGGGTTTGACTAGGAATAACCGCTGTCGTCAACGGTATATATAAATATCTACGAATGAGTCCTTATCCTATTGTTAGAAGCAAATGCTTAAATTTACAGTCTTGTTGATTGTTCGATTTACAAATTCATTCGATATCTTAACCCGCGAAAAACGATCTTGAATTCGGTTGCGTCTGGGCTGGTTGGGCGGTATTGTTCACGTCACCACGATGGGCTTGAATCGCCTGCCAATTAATGTACCAAAAGGGTTGCTTGTCTCTCGGCCAGGTCTTGATCCTATTTATCAAATCAATGTCACCATGAGCATCAACTGGTAAATCAGCTGGATTTATCGTCGTGCTCAGGGACGGTGAAGCTGTAAAGCCACCGTCTCCACCACCTATTCGATTTCCAAGCGTGTTATCGATATCAATTTGAGTCCCTTGAGCTCCTTGAGCTCCTTGATACGTTGGAATTCCTTGAGATCCTTGACGCACTGGAATTTCTTGAACTCCTGGGCCTGCTGGAATTCCTTGAGCTCCTTGACCTATTGAGATTCCCTGAGCCCCTTGGCCCAATGGGATTCCCTGAGTTCCTTGGCCCAATGGGATTCCCTGAGTCCCTTGGCCTACTGGAATTCCCTGAGTCCCTTGGCCTACTGGAATTCCCTGAGTCCCTTGACCCACTGGAATTCCCTGAGTCCCTTGACCCGCTGGAATTCCCTGAGCTCCTTGGCCCGCTGGTATTCCCTGAGCCCCTTGGCCCACTGGAATTCCCTGAGTCCCTTGACCCACTGGGATTGTTTGGCCTCCTTGAGCTGCTTGAGCTACTTGAACTGCTTGCTCCGCCGCTATTCGCTCGTCAATATATTGAGGTAGAACCTGGGGCAGACGATTACCGGTACCAGCATGCCATGGTCGTTGTGACTGTACCATGTAGAACACAGTAGTGAAGAGTATAATATATTTCAACTGTAATGGAGAATAATTTCAATTTAAGTGAATGAAGAATAGTGCATTATCAAAAATGTTAAGAATTTCGTTTCTCTATCATTTAACAAATTTGAGTTATTTGGGAAGATTATATATTATCATTAGCTAACATTGATACTGAAATAAAACTCATCGTAAAGTAAAGATATGTATAAACTAATTATTATAAATATTACAGACTGAAGTAAATATAAATTGTCAAACGTTCTCTCTTCTAAATTAGCTTTAATATTAGTAATAAGTATAGCTTATATAACTTTTGAACGAGAAACAATAAGTCCCCATTTTTCTCTCCTTTTATAAACATTTATGAAAATATTTATCTCAAAATGTCAAAATTGGTAGAATAATCACTATACAATAAATGACATGTAAGATCTATTTACCATGATTATAGAATATCTCGAGGCGTTTACTGAATTGAATAAATACACGAGGATTTTTCACCAACGGTATCCAACGGGACCAGGAGATTTAGCGATTCACCGTTCGGAACTGAAGTGCTAGTACAGCAAGCATCCTTCTATATAAATCGCTCGGCTTTACTGTGATCCCCACTACGAAGTCGACGAGTCATGCGTCTGTGGGAAACTTGACTGCAACTTCCCCCGGTTGTCGGATTTGCGATAGTGGACGCAAAAGTCTTCCCGAAGTGATGTATAACAAATCGCTGCTAGATAAGAAAGTATTCCCCGAAAGCGCGTCTACGAGTCAAGTTTTGCAAAGAAAATGCAATTTATCACGACGATAAAGTTATGTTGTCAGTCGCCTTTTTAATTTCGGTTCATTCATGTGCGTAAATTCCAGTGAATCCCCTGTATAAATATAAATTTGTACAAGACTTAAATATTATTTGAATGCAGAAAAAATATGTAGAACTTCTACATTATATTAATTGATACGTAAATTCATATAATTAAGTAAAAGCATTAATTAATATTTTTCAATTATATTCTTATTAATAAAAATTATATTATTGGTAATTAAATCTAATTTTTAATTTATGGTAAATAAAGATAAATTAGATTTATATATAGATAATAAAAGAAATACATTATATGTATACATATTAGCAAAGTTATATATATTTAGTTGTTGATAGTGACAAACATTCGTACAGAAAATGATAAACGTACGTATTTGACAATTCAAAAGTTCAACGACGATATTACGATTTTATTCTTGTAATATCAAGTTAATTGATCAATAATAACTGAGGACGAATAACGGATAGACTCATTTCTTAGGTATGCATTTGAAAGATTATGACAATCTTGGAGAATGACTATATCTAATTTTCTGAATAGCAAACCGTGAAATTGCAATGTCATCAGCAACGCCAATGAATTTCATGCTTTTACAGCTTCGCCAGCACATTACATTTACGCCCATATTTATCGTGGTTTTTGCGGTTTTAACAAGATGTTGAGGCATTTAATCAAGCTGATAAATCCACACTATCGTCATCACGAATCCGTAAATATTGTTCGTGAGAAAAGAGACAGGAGTTGTTTATCCGTATATGAATTCCCTGTGGAAGCAGCAATATATAGGAAAATGATGTCGATGCGATTATTCACGAAAAGTATTCATTAAAAAATTATATCTCAAACGGTGCCGTAATCTTACGAAGACCTTTAGAAATTATTGATTTTTGTAGCACGCGTTTTTAGTATTTCTGGAGCGCGCCATCATTTCTCGTTAATGTTTGAAAGATAACATATGAAAGCAAAAGCAGATTGCAAAAATCATTGCATCGGTCGAACAGTTCATGGCAATCTTTATCATGCGCGTAATGAAAAAAAGTAGGAAGATAAAAATTATCTTCTTATTTATGGCGCGTCTCTGCTAAATTTTCATACGTTACTTTTAACTGAGATTCTCAATTATTACGAGAAAATAAAAGTAATATCAAGAAATGCTGCAAAAATTTCAAGAATGATATATTAATGACGTTTTTCATTATAAATCATACGTTATAAAATGTTCAATATATAGACTTGTAGTTTGACAAATGTATTATTTTTCCAAGTTTATCTGCAACGTTTATCTGTATATCTTAAATGATGTAATTAAGTTCATTTGTAATTTCTATCGATACTTCGCGTGAGCGACAGTAATTACGACGTGTAAATAATGTACGACCCTCAGCGACTGAAACGATGGAAAATTAGTACATTTTCCTCTGAAGATTTTCTTAGAATTCATTTTTCTGTGGTATTTCTCTTATCTTTTAATTTTTATCTCCGCTTGGTTTTCATGGTCAAGATGTGATTTCTTTATCTGCGGTAGTCGGGGGAAACGAGGAACTTTTGTTTTTTTCTTTCTGTGGCGGTGGAATGTACTTTCTTATTGGTGAAAGAGTCATCATTTACACCAAATAATTGGTTCAGATGGAATTCCGGTTTTGCCATTGGCGTGCCGACGGAATTACCAGATCAGTAATCTTCCCTACTCTGCACAGGATGTGTCTTGATAAATATCTTAAGTAGAGTAGACACGAGAAATTTTCGATTGTAATAATCGGCAGGCAGATTACAGAAAATTAAATAAAACTTTTAATTTGTCGAGACATGTGATAGTATCTCGTAATATCAAAAATACATGTTAGTATTATACAATGGAAATATTTATACATATACAATAGAAAATTGACGTTGAAATTGAGTCGGAAGAATATGTATCGTCAGTCATACTTTGAATTATTCTAAATGCCAAATGAGATTTTCTCCGAAGTGATTAGATGAGGTATACGGTGCCTCTTTATGAATTACACTGCCTTCGTGCTTGTGCATTTAATCGAAAGCTCTTTTACGATTTTCTGTTCTCGCAAATCGCGGTCACGCGAAACAGAAATACAACCGAAGCAAAATATTTACGGCCGTTCTTTCTCGCCTGGCCGTGACGGAATCAGATTGTGGGGATTAAAGGCCGCTGCTGCTGCGGGCTTATGGAAACGGTGCAGAACCGGGTTTTTCCCACAACTTTGAACCATCAAGCGTGATAAATTTCACCGTGGATTGCTAACGAAAAGTCATAGTTCCCGTTAAAAATGATAAAGCAAAATCCAATTTGCAGCGCAATTTTCATAAACATTGTCGTTGGATCGAATTGTGCAAATGGTAGAACTGCCCGACGAAAGAATTGGCGTCAATTTTTGAAATCATAAGAATATTTAAATGTATTTACGTTATAAAACATTATTAATAATATAATAAATACATATCGATATGGAGGTAAATTAATCGATCTCGGCTCATCTAAAAACTTGCCATGTATGTTTATAACATAAGCAGTCGCCGCATTAAGTTCGGAACCGCCTACGTCATTAGAATAACTACGCGTCAGATACAGAATTACTTGTCCGCGTGATGAAAAACGATGATCTTTGATATGCAAATAAATATAAAATAAGCGAGAATAACGTTATATTCTCGTTAAAACTATTCTCGCGTTTATTCACGAACTGGATGGACACTCGAATTTTGATATATTTATAGAATAAAAACATTAACTGTGAATTTTATATAATATATAGATACATATATAATATATTATAAATAATGTATATACATGTACATATCAACTCTTTATATACAATATAAATATATGTATTTATATATTTATGAAATTCGCCAATATATTATATCATTTATGAAATTTGATCATTAATATTGTTATCATTTGACTTTATTTCTATATATACGTATATATAAATTATAATATTTAAATATTCAATCTTATAGGATCGTACATATATGTGAGAAACACAACGAAAAGGAAAATACCGGTCGAGCTTGGATCTTATAAATTATAAGTATAGATATAATTATAGAGATTATATATAATTATAGATCTTTGTTACAGTCGAATTAGTGACATAGGAAACAATGATTATATTTAAAAATCTTAGATAATAAATTATACATTATCGTATTATCGTGATGATATAAAATTTGAATTACGAAGATTTTATTATAAAAATACAGTAATTGTTCATGTGATATGTATTTTCCTTTGTTACTGAACAAAAATACGGCGCAGAATCATCGATAAGGAGATGTGTTGGAAACCAGTTTAAGCGTAATGTCTTTATAGCTAAGTATGCTAATCTATTACCTGATATAATAAAAATTCATTCATTTTTACATTAAGATTGAATTTATTTATAAGAATATATCCAGAGCTGGATATATTTAAAATACTTTTGTTTAAAGCATAGTTTTTGCAATAAAAGTAGATTTTATGTTTTATATTTCAGCGGTGTACATAAAAGTATTACGTATTTTGTAAAATTGAAAGGTTGAAAGCTTTATGCATTTCATAATTTAAATAATAACATTAATCGTCAATTTTAGTATTTAAAAAATACAAAATACTTTAAATCTTTTATTATTAATACTGAAAAACAAAATATAAAATTTTATATTGTATATTTCCATAAAATATAAAATGCAGAATATTTTCATGGACTCCTGAAATACAGAATACATGATATAATTGTTTTACAAATACCGTTTTCAAATAAAAGAATTTTAAGTACATGCCAGCCCTGCAGAATATATGTGAAGCATTCATGTAAACGATATGTAATTATAATTTCTATAATTTTAGGTAAATATATTTCCTAATATTATAACAAATTTTGTGTGCGTGCGTGCGTGTATGTGTGTACACGTGAATATAAAGTATTGTTTTTGTTCAATTGAACATCTTTCTGTTTCAAAAAGATTTATTAAATGATTATATTTTAAATATATCTCAAGATTCTTGTAATGTACAACCGTTTTTTAAAAGATTAGAAGATAACTATTTTGAGAGACTTGATAGAATAAACATACGCCATTCTTAAATCGATAAATATACAGAAATAGGAAGGAAAGTATGTTATAATGCAACAATTCGATTTCCTGGTGTGCCAGGATGGTACGAAACTAATCGTGATAATGTTACATAAGAGTCATTATTTCAGAGTTATTTGTTTATCCTAATCTCTAATCAAGTTTCTTTAAACCTTTAATAATCTTTTACATTCGGAATCTACATATATAATGAATAATTTATATCTATCGTATTGATTTAAATAATTATTATATTTAACTTATAACAATGTAGTCATTAATTTATGATGTATATTATTATACACAATACATATTTAAATCATTAAATCAACTAAAGTAATTAAAGTAATTAAAGATGTATTATATATATTTAAAAATGACAAGAAAATTATGAAAGCATTTTACAGATTATTTCAGATTGCATTTAAACATACAATAAAAAAATTTCATTAAAAAGCAGGATTTTTTATTTGTCATAGAAATGTATCGATTGAAATTATAAAATAATAACAAAAAACTTAATTTTTTAAAATAAATACTTTAAGAATTTAAAATGATTTGTGTATTTGTGTAAAGTTTACATTGCGATGTAAAAATTAGATATCCTATAAATAAACAAAATATTTATTTGTTTTGTATCTTTATAATTAATCCGAATCTTGTAATATGAAACTTAAATCATTTTAA